CTGACATCACGGGTCAAACAGTGTCGTAAAACACACGCGAATAAAAAGGACCGAATCTTATTAAAGTAAATATTTATGGCATTGCTATCAACCGATTGGACGAGGGTACCGTCGCCCTTGATAAATTGTCCTCCGGTTGTGGCCTAACTGACACACACACATATTTCTCCTCTCACTGATCACTCTACAATTTTCTTTTTAATGCAATTTGATTTATGGTATAATATTTTTAGTTGGTTGTCAAAGAAATTTTCAAGTAAACACATAATGTGAACATATCTTCAATAGTATTGTGTAGTTGGTCCACACAGATACGTCACAACACTGCACAGCGCACGCTTCTGTAAGAAATCATGTTGTGAATTCTTTGCCAAACACCACGGGACGAGTCCGAAAATTCTTCTTGTGTCAAAAGCTTTAAAACGTTTCAGAAGCAATAAAACAACTTGTACAAACTTCGAGATTTTAAAAGTTGAACATCTTGACGGAAAAAGAGTCGTAGGAGCAGTGTTTCTGTTTTACTTACCTGAATGTAGACAATAAAGGTGTCTCCGCACAGTCAGCGCGTCTACCAAGTTGATAGTTCGTGTCCTATTCAACTTAACAATAGAGAAAATGAGGATGAGCCAATTCTTTCCAGCTTTTATTTTCCATTTTCTTAGCTTGCCGAAAGTTTACATTTAGATTTTGCACCTCACTACGAATGCATTAGAAGCAGAGTGTTTGCATTGGCACTGGTTGCGGGTTCGCGTATTATTTTGATGCGTCAGTTACGAGCGACCATTTGAATTCTCGATAGATTACTTTATCATACAGCCGGGTAATGTATTACTATTGTTCTTACCTACATAACGAGTAGTGTTTGAAACAGAAATAAATATCTAATAAGAAGTTGTATGAAAGTGTGATCAATCATCCATTAGCACAAACTAGAGTGTAATACGCTCCTGTAACGTTGATAAGAATATAACTCGAGAAGAATCGTTTCGTTCTGCAGTTTCAGCTTTAGTGTGATTTATAGACATAAAATTCGTATTAGGTGCTTGGGGATTTTATGTGTTATATTTTTTTACCTTTTCCACGTACAACTTTGTAATGGATACGTCAGAGATTAATTTTCTCCTGACCATTGTGGTTGGCACTTAACCAGATATGGTTGAATATCAATATTATCTATTTGGGTTTGAAAATTTTTACTAGCTAAATGGTTGTTGTTAACGTTCATCATTATGATATAATAACTGTAGTTTCTAAGATAAATTGTCAAACTTGATGATAAAACCTCCTTTTCTTATTTCTCAGATTTTTATATCAGAGCAGCAAATAAGTTGTTGGGTACTCAGACCACCCACGTGGCAACAAATGTTTAGCTAATAGGTTTCTAATAAACATTGATGGCGTAACAGCGCCCAGCGGAGGCGATCCCGTTTCATATAACGTAGCCTTTTTCTCGATAATAACTATTGCGATTAACTTGTTATTATTAGCTGAGCTCAGAAGCAATCCGGCAATTATTTACGTAGCAAACATTCTGTCACGATGAGACCTCGTTGATAAAAGTTTGGGCCAACTATGACGTCAGAAGGGGCGATAGACGAGGATCTCTTAATTATTGTGCCGCGTATTTCGTATTACAATAATGAAGCGAAACAATAACAAAAGTTGTGACGTCGAGCGCCGCCACCGGCCAACTCCGCTGATCATTTGAGAGGTTGTTGAGAGCGCTCCTAATGAAAACTTGCTAGTTATCGCCGACATACTACATTACTTTTATTTTGTACAAAAACAAGCAAAATTGACGCTACAATGAGTCCTGTTGACTCACTTTGTCTGTAACAAGATACTGCTTATTAACTTGTGTACAGTTGTTGTTGTGGAGATGACAACACATAAGTGTACGTACACGACGCTGTGATCATCCAAGCTAAATCCAAGCACTATTGATAGGATCGATAGAGAATTAATCTCGTACGTGAGCCACGTTCCATCCGCGTTTTGCACCATTGAATTTTTCGCAGCGCAGGTAAATATATATTTTCAGTAAAGGAAAACATCTTGCGAAAATCTGCATGTCGGAGAAGAAATTCTGCATTAGTGTGCCAACGAAAATACAAATCGAAGTGGAACTGGCAAGTTCTTATTTAGTGCACGCCTTGGAACAGGTACCTTGTGCATAATGTATGTACTAATGTAATATTCAATTAGACAAATGAATACTGCGGGAATTACATTAGTCGGAGATATCGCAATAAATTCCATTACATTCGGGAGCGAAGGTAACGCAGAAAAAATGTGGTCGAGCCCGAAGCGTCGGCGTGGCACAAAGTGGAGGCCTAAGGTTGTATAACGTCCGTTATCGACGCCTACAATAAGTCGCGTTTTATACGGTTATTATAGCGCCATAAACGCCACCGGCCGGTGTTTCATACAGTGGCGGGGCAGATTATACTGCCTATGGCCCCGATTCGGGGGCGGGGGAGCATTCGGCAGGCGGCAGCGCGGGGGGGCAGGCCGCCCACTGTCAGCTCCACGTGCCGCCCGACAGATGTGTCGAGATATCCGATATCGGGAGACACATTCATAATCTTTGCCTCAACCTCTCGCTTCTTATATTAAAATAACGAGCGCCGCTATCGCAGGTGCGAACTCGATGGGAATTAATAAAAATCGCTCGCCGTTTTCATAGCTATAGTGCTGAGGTTCGCGTACTCCATAGCGTCAGCCCAGGTAGAGGAATATCCCTATTGATAACAGAAATATATTGATATATCAGTTTGTATTCTATTTCACTCAGTTCTTTGTAAAGTGGAAATTTTCTCAGAAAAGTACTTAGAGTTTCACAGAGTGATGTTAATTTAATTTAGCAAACAAAGTATAGGACCAATCAGTACAGAGGGACGCAGATCACCTATAAGCCGCCAGATTTAATTAAAGTATTCCGCTTTAAAAGTAAAGGTACCCAGTGTAATTGAAGTCGGAGAAAAATAAAGTTAATTCCTGAAGCGACCCAGGAGAACTTTCATTAGCGTTTCACAGCTACAATTGCGAGTTCAAATAATTATGTTTACGGAATCCTTTTCTTACGCAGAGATTATTTATCTTCGCCATTGTTACGAGAAGTGACGCGGACGAATTTCACGAAAATACCCCATTTATCTAGAGCGAGCACACAAAGGCAACACGAAACCCAAAACTTTTTACGTGGTCAGTGACAATGCTATTTCTCCCGTTTCTCTTAACGTTTCATCTACAAACTTTAGGGGTATTGTATTTATTTGCTCAGTTTGTGGGCATGCCAACAAAATATCGGTGATTTTAACGTTGCTAATCCATTAAGAAGTACTTAATTTAGTTTGATAGTGTGGTCCGATTTCATATTTGCTCAGCCATCTCGCCCGCAGATAACTTTACTCGCCGGCCGCCGACGTTGCTTGCTTCTTACTTTATTCGGTTTGCAGACCCGCATAAATAAGGGGGGATCGGCTCCACTCGGCATGCGAGTACATAATAACTGTCGTCCAACCGGCTCTCTGCCTCACTTATAATATCCGAGTTTCAAAACAATGCGTTATCGAACTTCCTACTTCTATCCCGACACCATGTTTTATGTAAGTGGGGATTGTTTCCAATCGTTTTTATTGGGTAAGCAATAACGCAGAAACGATTCACTTGATATACCGCACCGACCTTATAATGCATAAAGAAAATACGGTCATCTAACGGAACTCGATTGAACCCCTATTTGCCTTTTCGGGGTGTTACTATCTCTGCCTCGATTCCTACGCAAAGCCACCCGGCCGCGCGTGAAATACCAAGTGCGCCCTAGTTTGGGGCGGATCGTGCTGTTTGTTTAGGCCAGCGAAGTCGTGAAAGGTGATGAACTAAATATGAACAAAGAGCCACACTGTCAGATTATAAGTATCGGCTCCGCCGTAACATTTACAAGGGTATCGATTAGCGCCTCGTCGCTGAGGGCTATTGTCGGACAAGTTCACTTTTGAAACGGTTCTGTATAACTTTCGGGATTGCCGACGTTGATCCCGACTCATGAAGATGTATGTCGCTCACACGTGCCCATATCAACACGTGGACACGGGACGAGAAAGTTGTAGCGATACGGGGCCGGTGTCGGTGTACGTGTCAGCATAATCGCGGCGCGCGGCGCCACCGACTGTTTGCGGAGCGGCTCGCTAATGCTATTTGTCGTCGTGGGTGGATACGTCACGTGTGTGTGTCTTAATCGTTAGCAGACAGAAACACGCCTGCTCATGCCTTGTTTTGTTTGCCACTTTAAGCGGAAACTTGGTCTACGTCAGGTGATTGCGAATCGGGAAACACGACGCGGAGAGCGACGTGTTTCGAACTGGAGGGATTTATTTGTGCGACAGATTGCTGGCTAGGTCGTAAGTTGTCGCATAGAATCGTGTAAATATCGGAAAGCGATTCGAGTGCGAAACTCAAAATTGCAATTTGTAATTCATGAATCGTGTGGGGGCAAACTTGAACGATCTTTTGAGTTGGACGGGGAACACATATAGGGGAAGTTGGTCGTCTGTGTGGCAATGTAAATGTCTAGCTGCATTTAAAGGAGGGTAGGTATTGTTTGGTTTGTCGCGAGTGCATGGCGGCGGCGAGGGCGCAAGTTTTATTAAATCGTCGAGCACAAAGACGCGGCCCTGCCCCGGCCGACCGACACAATGCTCTGATAGGTGTTGTCGATCTGATTGACGTGCCTTTTGAAATTAACTTGACGCGAATTGCCTGTAATTAAACCGATATCAAAGCCAAGACTTTTATGCTTCTGATTACTTGAAGCGACGGTTAATTCGAAAACTTTCAAGACTGAATATCTGAGGTTTTCAGCTTAAGTCAAGTTCGAACATATCTTGATCGCAATTAGTGTAGCGATTTTAGTTTTATGAATATTATCTTTTTATGTTATCTTAAGTATTATGTGCATTGGTCGTGGAACTAATGTGATATCTTTCTTTTTGTTTCAGGATTCGGATTCGTCACGTTTCAAAGTGAAGACATAGTAGATAAAGTGTGCGAAATACATTTTCACGAAATCAACAATAAAATGGTAAGTACAAGATTTATATTTCATTATTATTATACACTTACTCACTTAAACGTTCAATACTGAAGCATTTTAACATAACAAGTACATAGCTGTATACAGATCAACAAATACATAAAACACTAACAATATGACTCGTAATACATATAAAGTTATTCCTACACTCTTTTTGATACGAAAAAAAAAACTTAATCTACATATACTACACGAAACTTCCCAGCAAAAAACTTGGAGCCAAACTAAATAATAATAGTACTTTATTCTCGTACAAAAACCTCCCAATCCTACTTTACCGATTAGATGTTATCCTAAAACTTTGTATGTTAGACAAATGAGGAAAAGTTTGCAAGTTATAAGCAAGTTGTAACATTGCAAGTAACTTATCATGCCTTATTTATTCAAGTTCACTTCCTTCCCAAGTTACATATTCATTTGCACTTATAATGCATAAGGGGAGGCTCCTAAGTGATATATTAATTATTCAACATAATTTTCCACGTGCCATAATATACCAAAATATGACAGAAACTCCATAAAATGTTAAACGAAAATAATTTTCCCGTTTTTCGTACAAAGAGTGAAAACGAAGTATGAAACACGAATCCAAATGTATGTACCTACTCAAATGTCCGCAGAAAAATCGGTATAAAACTTTTTTCTCTTATTTTCTAGTAAAACCACTCTCGTTTCCACGAAATTGTAGCTGACAGATGAAACAATACGCAAAACACTTGTCTACAAGAAATCGTACGTACGTAAAGTGAACGCTTTGGTCAGATATCAATTAGAGGCGAAGGAACAGAGCTGGCTGTGCTCCAAATGGAGCCAATAAAATGCCACTAAAGTCGGCTTTTACTGTGTTTAGATTTTTCCCCACCATGGGGGAGGTGGCGCTCTGTGACATGTGTATTCCAGATGTAGCCATGAACTTTGCTAACACTAGATTAACTGCTTAATTGCACTAGTTAGCACCACAGTCCGACCCGTTTGTTCGTCTGTTCGCCTTGAAATTACATTACGCGCATTCAAACTTTTTAATCACGCATTTTATTCGTACGATTTCTAATATCATTAAATCTTTTATGGGCACTTTTTCACAACGATAAATCCAATTTAATTAAAAATGAGGAAAATACCAGTTTATTTTCTTTTTCCTCCGTCTCGCATAGCGCCGTCCATTTGTCGTAATACATTACCAGTCACCCTTTACAAGACTATTACAATCATGTGCGCCCATAAAGCTTGCCCCCGATTAACTTGTAGCCGTCTACAACACGCACACAACAAGCCTATTGTCTTTCTCTAATGCCTCTTTATTATTTTAATGTAAATTTCGGGACGTAATCAAATTACTATGGTCATCCACGCGACGTTTGATAGCAGTATAAGGAACAATTAAGTAAACTCAACACACTCAGCGCTGCATAAATATCAGTGTAACTTCACAAATATTTCCACTTAACATGAAATTAAATGAACAGTTCTTATCTTTGAAGTGCTGATACAAATTGTGATAATAATATTACCGCCTGTTAATTATTATAATGAGACGTCGTCACGTAAACAATTCTTTTGTCTGAACGCGAGTGATATTAAACAACTCAATCACTTTTGCCTCTCCCTCAAAACAATGGGAGACTACACACTACGCAGAAAAAAGTACGAAAAATCGGCGCCACTATATCTATACCTATTCGAGCCATTACCATTGTCTTTGTCGCTTGAAGTTTCCACCGCCATTATCTCTCGTCTCCGCTGAAAGGGCTGGGGAATAGATACCACCCTTTCCCGTTGTCGATGCATATTCCTGATTATTAATGCTTGTTTTTTGTGTCTTGCCCCATTGTCTCGCACCTAATGGCTGTACGAAACTCACGGCATGTGTCGGGCGAAATCGCAAGGGTGATGCTCGCCCTAAGTGGAGCAAACAACGAACAAAGACATCAAACAAATGGGTAGTGTTTTAGAGTAATTACGGTTCGCTTCCGTGCGAAACGAGAGGTGTGCATGAAGCAAGCTTTTCTCCCTGCGATCCGCGTAATGTGTATACGACGGAGCGGGAAACTAATCGCTTATTATTTCGTCCCTTTTTTGTTGCGTGTCGGAGAAAATGATCAATGTTACGGTCTCAGTTTTTACACGGTATTCGTAAATAATGTACAAAGTAAGAGGTTCGTGTCACAAAGTAAAGACAGTGTTTGTTTAACGCGCACATGACAGGGGAATATTAAAGTTACGATCATCGGTTATTCAGTTCAGTACAGTGTACGGGACTCGTAAACGATTCCGGCCATTAAAAATTCGCCTTAGCATATCATAAACACATCTGATAGTTATATTTACGTACGCAATAAAGAAGACAGAGGCGACACGTCAGCGTCAACGTTTACGCTGTGGGGAGCTCGCCCTCGTAAATTTAATATGTCATCTCTTATATTAAAATGGTCGTTAAGCTAATAGCTGCTTTGCCTTCCCGCACGAAGTGATAGGGTGATACCGCGGTTCACTTTGAATAATAAAAAATATCTTTATTTCTTTGACGGTTTTTGTGTTTAATGACCGAGGAGTAAATGACACAGATTTAAATGGCGACGCTGAAATTGTAATTTTGTTTTAAATTGTCAGCGGTTTTTAAATATCGCTGTACAAATTAGACAGTTGCTCTTCAGCAGTAATTTTGTTTTGTTTCTACTCATACTTTAGAACTTAGCGAGATATAGTAGTAAAATAAGTTACTTATCCTTAAATCCATAGTAAAAAGGTAAAAAGTCTACTTGGATACTCGTACACAATAATGTACTAATTAATATTTTAAACAAAAAGCAATCAATGACAGACCAATCTCTTCAGCACCTACAATTACGACTACTACAACGAAGGCCGTCAGAAAAATCCAATATAAAATTTGAATATTATTTCCACGTAATTAAAATCTTAAAATATAATTAAACACGCTCGTCATCAACGTGATTACTTAATGACGTTTTTAATAAGACACTGAGTTTTAATAATTGCTATAGGTATAAATAATTGCGATCATTATAATAAGAGAAAGAGAGAGGCAAGAGATTGTGGTGCAGTATTTAGAAGCATAAATACGCACGTCCATTAACACAGGAGCAACAAATTCCCGTCACTCCATTACGTCCTTACATATTACTCCCTTAATTGCTTCCGCTTACCATGAATTTTAACAACAAAGCGAGCGAAATGGTTAAAATATTGTGTAGTTTAGATTTCGCCTACTAACATCAATTTCTATTTTCTGGATTTAACCGGCCGTGGGACACGTACACCTGCGTTTCTTTACGAGGTAGCACCTGTTAAAGTCATATTCCTGCGCGATATATGACGGTGTACGCATCAAGTTTTGCCTCCAGAAATATTACACTAAATGTTTCAATGTAACAAGTTTCTTCGTAACACCGTCTGTCACGGATACCGTTCAGTATTTAGTTTCTACAATTCTGTACAAATTGAATACTACGCCTTTATTATGGAGATGTAAAATGAGTCCAGAGTTTTAGATCTAAATTATTTCAATATTGCATACATAACATTAAGCTTTTTATCCGTTGAGAGGTAAGCAGAGATGCACATTACGGCAATTAATCCACTGTACAATGTAACGCCCACTTTTCAATGTTTATGTTATGAGTCCAATGTAATAGGGGGTGAGCCTATTGCCATATACCGGGCACAATTCCAGATTCTGTGCTAATACTGAATTTTTTTTTAAAACCCAGTAGATTTTACAAACTAATACTAAAATTGTACTAGAATCTCACACCACAATCTGTCTAATAACAGATAAGTGAAACGTTATGTTCCGTGAGCCCACATCACTTAAACTTAGGTCAGCTATATTTTCTAAAAATAAGTGTTACCGAATTTCGTGTCCCATTCTGGGCGAGAACTTATTTTTGAGTTGTGGAAGGATTTTTAGTAGCTATTACGTAGGAGTTACAAGTTGGTGTAGATTGCCCAAGTTCCACTTACAACCGACTGTTGTAAAGCAAACCGCACTAGTGAACACACCCGGTTCGGTTTTATTTCGCAAGCTCCACTACTTTTTATTGGACATTTAACTAATGGTTTTCGAAAACAGCGTGACAGCGGGACTCGATGATTCATACACAACCTCTCTTTTTTGGGACACGCACACCCAACGAATATACGTTTCAATATTTTTAAAGCGTACTTTCCGACTACAAATGCACTTCACATAACGACACAAAGGAATATAATGGAGCAAATGCACTTCCTTCGGAGCAATCTCTTCGCATAAACACTTCAAAGATACATTCGAGTGTTGCGTAAATTTTTCTCGTCGATCGTGCATGAGGCAAACAAATGGTTTCCGTTTAGGAAATAACACTAAAAGTAGGCACATTTGAAACTGCCACTTAAATCTTGGGATCCTCAATCGCCATTTTTCTTAGGGTCTTAACAGGCCGTAGGGCTGGAAGTCGCACCCTTGTCGTTACTGCCGCATTAAAGAATGGTCTACACACCCATGCGTAACGGACGCGCCGATAGATAGACAGATAAGGGCTGGCTTTTCTATTGCACACAGTCACGGCCGCCATTAATAAATAGTTTCGGCGGGCACGTTCGCAAAAAGGTTCGCTAAAGAAAATTATAGTTGTACAACAAAACGGCGAACACGTGTGTTCCGTACGTAGTAGTGTGGTCGAGGGCGTGGGCGGGCCGCAGTAGGTCGCCTACAACAATCAATCACGGGTTCCTCCGCAGCCGTGATTACCATAAACTTCCAGTTTCACCAGGACCCAGCGCGCTTCTTCTAAGCTTTATCGATTCGTCGGCGGCCATTTTTGCGCCTCCTATATATCAGTCGTTTCGTGCGACCGTCCTTTTTCATTGAAACTTGCAATTGGCAAGTTGTGGGCCCAAGATTTGGATGGACTTTGTCTAGTCCTTTTCTAACTTTTTTATTCAGAAAGAATGTAATGATTGAAGTATAAAAAGGACTTCGTTTGAAT